ATCAGAACATCCAATAAAAGTGATGGTAATCTTCGTAGTCATTTGGGTCAAGTACACAAAATGGATGGTGTAATGATACTTCTCAAGTTCAACAACGTGAAGCAAGATCCAATGTAATAAAACCTGAAAGAAAATTGGAGTTAGATAAAGCAGCACTGGAATGCATAATCATGGATGGTCGTCAATTTGGAGATTTTAGACGTGCCGGCATGTCAAAATTTCTCAATGTGATATGTCCAGGATAGTAAGTATTTTAATTTATGTAACTTTATAGGCTTTTAAATGTATTAATCGATTAATGCGCATTGTTACGTATGTTATAAGGCAAATAAAAACTTAGGGCTATCATTTTATTCTCCAGTCATTCTATCAAAAGAGATAAGTCGGACTTTATCAACAGTTTATGATAAACAAGTTTACTCTAACTTTAATTTTTAAGAAAGTACGATTGAGAAATTAGTTGTAATGACTATGCGATTGCTACGATACCGTTGATAGTATATCATTTTGTAAATATTTACTGAACATTCAATGATGATTACTTTAAAATACATATTTAGATGTCCTGCCAGGTTATGATAGGTCACTAGTTAAAGTTTAAAGAGAGACCTACTTATAGATTTCATAAGCCTCAGAGATTTACTTTAGGTGAGCATAAGAGACAACATAAATCTGTTTTCTAATTTGCTAAAAATTATGTTGTTTCTAGAACGAACATTTATTTTTGATACATTTTCAGATATAATATTATACTTATATATTCTTTTTTCTAGTCATGGACCTAGTCGAAAGACAGTTCGTCGTCAACTTGGTTTATCGTATCATAAATATCGAAAAGAACTTTGTGCTACACTAGCTTCAGTACGTGCAATAGCTATAACAGTGGATATACGGACTAAAAAGCAAACTTCATTTATTTGTTTAACTGGACATGCCTTCAACAAGAAGTACGAATCTATACCAATTGTATTAGGTTTTCGACGACTGTCTGGAGCTCATCGAGCAAACAACCTAAAAAATTATATCATTTATGAAATGCAACAATTAGATATTGAAGAAAAAGTATGCGCAATCGTTAGTGACAACGGAAGTGACATCAAAAAAGCGATTAATGATATAAAACCTGGTGAACGATTTTCGTGTTTTGCACACGACATTAATCTTGTAGTAAAAAATGGATTGAAAATATGGGAGCCTATAGAAAAGAAGTAAGTCTTTAAAAAGTCAAAAGCTTATTTGTCTTTGCATTATATTTGACAAAAATCAAGGAATTAAACCAGTTAATAACAATCAGGATACCAATGTGAGAGAAGAAACAAACAAATTTCAAGATTTTTATTCTTTTTTATGGAGCGATACCATAGCATGCCTTAATAAAATCGTAATTTTAGAAATGAGTAATACATGACGTTTGTTTTTATGCAAATGCTTCTAAAAAAAGCATACATCATGATTGATCACTTTGGTTCACACGAAGATGGGTCTTCTGATGTTTATAAACGCCGGTAGTAGTCCAAAAGTTTAATAACTACAGAATCTAGTTCTTCACTTCTACGAACTGATATCGTTTGTGCTATTTATTTGAGAAAGAAAGGTACTAAAATATCAAAAAGTATTTTCTGGATCGATTGTTCTAATAGATAACAAAGAATTCAATAATTGAATAATTAAAATACGCTCCCTACAATAATACGTGAACAGAGAAACTTGACAAAAACTGAACATAGCTTTCTAAACAGCGTATATCAATCTCTATTATATTGCATCCATGAACGAAAGCATTATTGGTTTGATTTCGAAAACAGTACTAGAAGTAGTTTCTTTTGAAAAAAAATCATTTTCACTAAAGTCTCTTTGAAAAATCCGTATAACTTATGAGATTGCAAGTTAATGATTTTGGCAAGAGCCAGTTGTGCCTCATTCACATAAATGGTATAGTTAGTAGACCCTTGTACTTAGAAGTTTCTTTTATCATTACATATTGAATCCAAATGCAACGACCTTTTTTCTTTTTAATTTAGAAAACAAATAACACAAACAACAACAGCAACAAATGCATCTATCTATAATTATGATAGTGATGATGAGAGTATGTCAGAGCCAGATCGAGCCGATATTCCAGAAGAACTTGAAGAGGATACAATTGATGAAAAGGCAGAAAACGATGAAAGTGGCGATGATGGCGAAGAAGATGAGGATTCAACAGGTAGTGATGATGGTGTTAGTGAATATGAAGATATTATTGATATTGAAAGTGAAGATGATGATGAAGATGATTACCAATTTACTAATCAGAAGGAACAACCATTAATTCAACCGTACCAAATTCAACTCTTGATTTATCGATTAATCCATCGAGTGCGAGCTTGTGTCATAAATGTCCGTAGTACACGAGCTATTTGTGATTACGTAAAAACTCAAGGAAAATCGAATGAACCACCAATTAAAGCTGGACTTGCAACCGATTTCGAAATAAGGTGGAATACCACGTTTATCATGATTGATTGATTTAGTAATCATCGTTTCATTATTGACAATATCAATAGCCAACCGTTCAAAGTTCCTGATATTAGTTCCGCTCAACGAATGAAACTTGCATAAGCAACAAAACCTATTTCAGCCAAAAGCTATCCCACATTAGCAGCAGCATATTCAAGTAAGTTAAATGCTGAAATATTATTGAAAATTTACTTAGTAGGACAAATTGATTGTTCGAAGATGAAAAATATTTTACAGACACATATTTTGCATGTTAGTAAAATACGCCTTGCGGTATTTTCTATTTAATGAAACATCTGGAAATGAATCATTATGGCTTAAATCTTTGAAACTTTGTCTTCGTTGAACATTAGAATTATACTTCGACGAAAAAAATGGAAATGCACCAGAAAAATACTAGTTTGGTAAGTTACAAACTTGCTCGTTGCAATTTTCAGTGCCTTTCCCTTAGACATAGACTGATGAATCATGAATAAGATGATAGCAGTTCCATACGAGTTCAGTTCTGATGAATTCATCTGGTCAACCAGATCATATGGACCATTGGCCAACTCTTTCGAACTGTAATTTTACCAATCCTAGTCACAAATACAAAAATACGTCATCGATGAAATTCTGTCAGAAAAATATCTTTATGTTCAATATTGATTACTCTTGGTTGCTATAGCGCTAGATAATAATATAAAGACTGACTATTAGCTTAAAGTCAAATCTTGAATCGGAGGTTAACTGCTGATTTTACTTAATATAAGGTTGGATTGTTACTCAATAACTATCGTTTTTTCGTAGTTATGGAACAAGTATTACAACAACGAAATATATTTTCATAAATGATACTGTTGACTTCTATTTGTAAACTATTAGCATCGTAACGAAATGTAATACTCGAAAAGATCGACTCCTTATGTTACTTGAAGTCATTTTTTGGAGAATGATAATGACCTTCATTTGATCGTTTGCATTCGTATGAATCTACTCAACTATATAGTATTTCCGTAGAAACGAGACACTTCAAAATCTCTTAAAAGTT